GACTCATTAAACCCAAATGTTCTCTCAAATTAAATTCTCAACAAGAGAAAAGTCAAACCCATTCACTGTGCTCTTCGTCATGAAACATGATCATTGTTACAATTAACAGAGTCTTGATTGCCACAATGCAAAGAATGAGGAAAAGATGTACAATTCCACCAACCAATTCATCAATGTATATACCAGCTCATCATTTTATTACTTGGATTACACACATAATTAGTGAAAAAGAAACTCTTCGATTAGTCTGATAACCAGAGTCTATGTACTTTATTAAGAAGTTATCAATTCATCTCCCTCTTCCCTCCAATATACCAACAAAATAAAATAAAATTAGTGAAAAAGACATAAAGACCACAGGCATTAATTAGTAAAGATCTATTGAGGATGATGAATCCCATTCCCATTATATACATAAAGCTTATTTGGTGCAGTATCTTTTAAATCGAAAATTAATAATCAGAAAGTAAAAATTAAAAGTACTTCTCACTTAACTTCTAAATAAAATATCTTCTTTTTTTTTTTTTTTTTTTTTGTAACTTATATATGCTATTTTTCATCATAAGTTGCACCAAACACTAACATTACCTATATATCTCAGCTCTTTAATGGACCTCATGGCCAATGATGTTTTAGAGTAAGAGAGCCACATATCTATGCACAAAAACCTTTCTCATTGGCATTACATTAACAAAATGTAGTGACAAAAACAAAATAATTATATATTATTTTGGGTACACGTATCCTAAGCTTAAATTTTTTTTTTGAGAAATTGACCAATTAATAAAGTACAAAAAAAATTGACCAATTAAATTCTCAATTGCTTAAAAATAATCAATATTGTTATGTTAAATTTATAACTGCTGATGCATCACACCATTTTGTTCAAATCTAATAAATAATGTTGGATTCCATTGGTCATACATATTGACTTCTTAAATGTGTAATTTTGTTGTTGAAGATAATGGCAAATAATTAGTTAATGAAAGACAAAGTTTAAGCCACATGTGATTTCAAGTTTCCTAATGGTGGGCATTTTGATGTTATTGCTTCTTTGTCTCATAATGGTACTCAATTTTAACGTTTGTCTTTACTAGTAAGTTTAGAGTAACATCAAGATTAGTTTTCGAGATAATCTCTATCGCTAAAAATCAAATATAAAATTGTGACAGTAGATATTATGTAGGATTTGACTCCTCATTTACGTACTAATTGAATATATCAAGTGGATAGTCTAATCGGTTGGTGGTGCTACATGTACTAATTAATATACATATTAGTCTATTAATTAGTGTTATGATATTATTATTAATCATATTTATTATACAAATTACAAATATTTAAAATTATATAAATGATGCTATACCATTTGTTAGTATACTAGTGTTTATATTAATTTATAATGCATAACATTATTCCTAGTGGGTGAGTGTTCGCTTTTGTTAGATTTGGTGAACTATTGACTATGGGTATGGGAGCAACTGGACCTAAGGATGGGCGTAGGACGGTGGCCAAAGTTTGTGGAGGTAGGGTTGACTAGGATGGGGTTAGGGTTAGGAATTAGAGTTCAAAAGATTAGAAATAAGAACAAAATTGAAATTTGAAGATAATTTGGTTTTAAGAAAATTCTGTTTAGTTTTAGTTTTTAGAATTCGCTTTTAAGAAAATTTTATTTTCTCATTTTTCGTATTTTTTTTATTTTCGTTAATTTTTTAAATATTTTAAGTAAATTTTAAAATTTTTAGACACACCTAACATAATACACTTAAAAAATATAACATTTGTGAAAATTGTTTTTTAAAAAATTCACTAAATACGAAAATTCAGTACATTTTTCATATTTTTGTGTATTTAATAACTTTTTAAAATATTTTTTCACAAATGTTTTACTATTCAAATACATCTAGTAAGATGCATCTAAAAAAGTAAGAAAATTACTTAAAATTTTAAAAACATTCACTAAAAATAAAAATAAAAATGAAAAATGAAAAATAAAAAATTTAATTTTTAGAAAATTGAATTCAGAAAACTGAAACATGCTGAATATTTTTTTATTATTTTTTTTTAAATAGTAGGGATTCAAAGGAGTTGTGTGGATACTATAGCCCGTTTGGTATAGCTATTAAAACAGATTATAGATTATAACTTAATAGATTATAAATTATGACTTTAATCAGAAGTCGTTAATCTATTTAGTGTAATTGTTGGGTTATAGATTTAAGTTATTGAGTAGTGTTTGTTAAATAAGTTGTGAAGTAATTTTTTCAATTAACTTTTATTTTTGTTATTCACTATTTGTTCACATTTCACATAAAATACTAATAACAATAATTTATAGTCCATTTGAGTCTTTTTCTATTTTTAAAAAAATAAAAAATAAAAAAAATCTAAGAGTATAACTGTAAATTAACATGTCCACAGCAGAAGTTGATAATCAGAAGTAAAGAGTGGACAACTTCTCAGAATCAGCTTTTTTGAGTTAAAATAAGTTGTTAGAATAAAAAACTGTTTGAAATAAGTTCAACCAAATAGTCCAAAATAGTTTTTTGAAAGTTAGAATTTATAAATTAACTCAAAAAAACCCAAACAAACGGACTGAGGGTTTCTGCTATGCCTTATGACACAACAGCCTTGCTGTGAGGGCCCGTGGAGGCATTTTTGGACTGTATTTAGATAATCTGAACTGTCGATATTGTAAGGTTTGTCGAGTGTATCATTCATGTAAAAGATTAAGTTAATCGGACATCTGTAACCCCATGATCACATCCTAATTGTTTTAAAAAAATTATTAAAATTATGTTAACCGTATATTTTTTGAAAAACAAATGTGCTCTTTTTATGAGACTAAAAATATCCAATGTACTTGATTTTTTGCATGAATGATTTATTTGACGAGCCTTACAATATGAACAGTTCGGATTATCAAAAAAGATTTGAGACACGCCCCCAATGGACCTCACAGCAACCTGTTGTGTAACAGGAACCCCATTTCCCAAACAAACACCCCTATTAAAACCACTTCACAATTGTGAAAATACAAACAAATGCATGTGAGACTATAACAAATGTTGGTGTATATACAAGCATATAATACAAAATATTCTAAGTTCTAATTAGTTATATAGATATGCTACCCAGATATATGATGTGTGTGTAATTCCATACACGTGTGTATATTTATGATAAAAATAAAATAAAATAAAATATTATATATATAATAGACAATTCATTGACATTGACGTAGAACAATTTTAATATGATAACAGCTCCGATTCAGACCACTAAACTATGACCACTAATCGGAGCTCTAATTACGTGGCATCAAATAAGGAAGGAAAAATCCGACCTTCATATTACAGTGTGTGTGTTTCACGTACTGTGAAAAGAAAAAAAAAAATTCCCACCCAAAAATCTGATAATAGAGGGAGAAGAAATGGTGTCTATTTTGAAGCTCTATCCTAGGGAGAAGAAATTCTAAAGCTCTATTCCAGGGAGAAGAAATCGTGTCTCCGTCCCCGTTTTCGTCTCGCTCAAGCGCCTTCCCTCTCTCGTTTGAATTGAGGCTATTCCAGGGAGAAGAAATCGTGTCTGCGTCCTCGTCTTTGTCTCGCTCAAGCGTTTTCCCCCTCTCGCTCAAGCATCCTCCGTCGTCCCTCTCCTCCACCATCCGACGTATTCAAGTTAGTGCACCGTCTCCGGCATCTTCGTCCGACGTCTCCCTATCTGATTGTTGTCCCTCATCCAGGTAAGTTTATCTGTGGCTTTTGTCCATCTCTTCCTCTATACTTACACATATACATACATATATATATATATATATATATATAATAATAATAATAATAATAATAATAATAATAATAATAAGATTTTGAGAATGCCAAATATGTAATGAAATATACATCAAAGCTTATAATTTTCATAGCAGATTAACAGAAATTGTATAGCTTAACAGATTGAGAATGCCAAATATGTTAATTAACAGATTAAAACTCAAGTTGTAATGGCAATTAATAGATTATAACAATTTACAGTTTGGACAGTCCAAATCTGTTAAATTGTTTGGGAATCTGTATATTGTTTGGAAATGCTAATCTGTTAATTAACAGTTCAAAATCTGTTAATTAACAGTCCAAAATTTGTATATTGTTAATTAACAGGTAATATGACAGTCCAAATCTGTTAAATTGTTATAAATTGTTAATCTGATTTTGGACAGATTTTGGGTTAATTTGGTAACTTGCACTGTTAGAAATTGTTATAATCTGTTAATCTGGTAATTGTTACAATTTGAAGCTCTTACAGATTAGAAATTGTTACAATTTGAAGCTCTGTTAATTTTTGAAAGGGTAATATGTTATAGTCTGTTGAAAGGGTAATATGTTATAATTTGTTCAAGAGCTTGCATTGTTAATCTGTGTGTATATGTGTAAGTATAACAGAGTAATAACATAATAGCTTGGTTCTATTACTCTATTAATCTATTAAATCATTTGATTTCATATGGTATTTTTGAATGACCAGGAATGGAGATTGGTTCGAACAGTGTTGAGAATCCTTTATTAAATGAGAGTGAAGAAGTTGAGGAACCGAAGAGGGGTATGTGTTTTAGCTCAAAGCAAGAAGTGCATTCATTTTATGCCAAATATGCTAAACATGTTGGATTTTCCATAGCTTATAAAACTCAAGTTTGTGGCGATGATGGGGAATTAAGATATTTTGGGATTGAATGTTCTCGATCGGGAAAGAGAATCAAAAAATCAGAAGTAAACCCTCTAAAGCCATCTTTGTCTACAAAAATTGATTGCAAAGCAAGGGTACGGGCAACCTTACAAAAGGATGGGAGATTTATGTTAACCACAGTTAACCTTGACCATAACCATGACTTGATTCCCACCGACTCACGTCATTTTGCAATGAATAAGAAAATTCTTACTCCTATAAAGAGAAGATTAGAAATTAATGATCAAGCAGGGATTGGGGTGTCTAGAAATTATCACTCAATGGTTGTTGAAGCTGGGGGTTATGAGTCATTAACATTTGATGAGCGAGATGCACGAAATTACATTGACAGAGCTAGAAAATTAAGGCTTGGAGAAGGAGATTCCGATGCACTTCAAAAATATTTTTTGAGGATGCATGCACAAAATTCGAGTTTCTATTATATGATTGATGTTGATACTGACTTTCGCATAAGAAACTTGTTTTGGGCGGACGCAATGAGTCGGGCGGCTTACAAAGAATTTGGAGATGTTGTTTCATTTGACACAACTTACCTCACTAATAAATATGATATGCCATTTGCTCCGTTTGTAGGAGTTAACCACCATGGACAGTCGATTTTGCTTGGTTGTGGGCTGTTATCCAGTGAAGACATTGATACATTTGTTTGGCTACTCAAATCATGGTTAAATTGCATGTCAGATCATCCCCCAAAAGCTATAATAACTGATCAGTGCAAAGCTATGCAAAATGCGATAGAAATTGTCTTCCCCAATACTCGACATCGATGGTGTTTATGGCATATCATGAAGAAAATTCCGGAGAAATTGAAAGGGTATTCCCAATATGAATCCATGAAGATGGATTTGCAAAATGCAGTGTATGACACATTCACAAAAGATGAATTCGAGATGAAATGGAAAGACATGATTGCAAAATTCAATCTTTATGAGAATCGATGGTTGGGGGTGTTATATGATGAGCGACAGCGATGGGTTCCTGTTTATGTCAAAGATATTTTTTGGGCTGGCATGTCAACGACACAACGAAGTGAGAGTATGAATGCATTTTTTGATGGATATGTCAACCCAAAGACTACATTAAAACAATTTGTTGAACAATATGACAATGCCTTGAGAAGTAAGGTAGAGAAAGAGAAGAAAGCTGACTTCAAGTCTCGGCACAAAGTCTTTGATTGCCTAACTGTGTATGGCTTTGAGAAGCAATTTCAGGATGCGTACACCAATGCAAAATTCAAAGAAGTTCAAGCAGAGATGAAGAGACTAGTTTATTGTCAGCCGTTTATGGTCAAAGAAGAGGGTTCAATTTGTACATATTTTGTAAAGGAAGCTATGGTACTTTTTGGGAAGATGAAGCATGTGGACTTTGTTGTCTATTATAATTCGACCGAATTTGATGTGCAATGTATGTGCCGGTTGTTTGAATTTAGGGGCATCATGTGTGCTCACTCACTCGTTGTGCTCATTGCAAGATGTATAAATGAGGTCCCAAATAAATACATTCTACCACGATGGAGAAAAAATTTGGATAGAGGGTACACATGCATAAAAACCACATACGCTGGCTTTGGGGATGATTTCAATGCAAAGGTGTATGAGAAGATGAATACAAAATTGGTTGGCATTGTACAATTTGCTGGGAACTGTGAAGGGAAAATAAAACTTATCGACCGTGGGTTGGATGAAATCAAGGCAAAAGTGATGAAAGATGATGAAGGTGATGGGAGTAATGTAGCACCTTCGACTAGTAATGTACCACCTATTACTAGTAATGTACCATCTTCCCCAATTGGCAGCATTAATAGACACACAATCAGTCATACCAAGTTGCTTAGTCCTTTGGTTGCTCAGCGAAAAGGTCGTCCAGTTACTAAAAGAAAGGTTGCCAAAGTAGATCAAATAGTGAATCGGTTGAAGGCAAGCAAAAGAAAACACAACAAATCAAAGGTAAATTTGTATTCATTACTCTCTATTCAACTCATATTTTATTGTAATCATGTCATACATTTGAGGCATTCATTAACTTTTATGAATATAGGGTACTAAGGTGCTTGGAGGTGAAGGTGAAGGTCAATGTCAATCTCAACCTGAATGTAGTGTACGTAGAGAGCTTTATCCTTATGTGGTTGGCATGGAAAATAATATGTGTGTGCCGGTACGTATACATCATAGGATTTTACATTGAGCAATTTATGTTATTCTCCAATTTATTTTAACATTTCATTTTAATTGAATAGGGACACATGGTCAATGCTATTGGAGGCACATCTCTCACCCCGACAAGTGTGGACATTATGAGAAGACAAAGTTTCATAAATCCCCCAACTCAGATTTATGGAGTTGGCACATCGCTTACCCCGTCGGACTGTATTGGAGGCACACCGGGATTTACGAGAACTCAACAATCCATGACTGCTACGCATCACATTTATGGAGCCGTACCATCTTCATTTGTTGACCTCAATGTACAAATGAACCACAATGACCGTGGCGGTAGTTTTCGTTAGTTGGAAACTTGCAATTGTAATGCCTTTTATGTGACTAAACTTGGATTTTATTTTGTTTTGGATAATTTATTTAATATATTTTTGGATTGTTCAGTTTCTTTATTTTTTGGTTGAGAACAAATTGATGTTCTACTTTGTTGTTATAGTTAATGTTCCCAATTGATGTTGTTATATTTGTGCTCTATTTACTACATGTGTTCCAAATCTGTGTGAAAAAAGCTGTTACAAATCTGTTAAAAACCTGTCTTCAAATCTATCTTGAAAAACCAGTGTGGAAAAAATATAAACTGTGTGAAAAACCAGTGTTCAAAAAATCTTTCTTCAAAAACCTATGTACAAAAATCTGTGTTCAAAACTATGTGAAAAAAACCTATCTTCGAATTTGCCTTGGAAAACCTATGTGAAAACAAAAGTCTTCAACCAATTACAAGCAAGATGAAGATCCCATTAATACAACACGAATTTCTATTTATGCCCCTTTGTAATTTTTGCATCTGCGCGTTCTGAAATTGATGTTGTTCGCTTTGAAATCGAAGATGTTCGCCTACGCTTTGAAGTTGTTCGGTGACAGTTGGTGTATTGTCCATTCGCACTTGCCCTTCCTCCTTACATTGTGAATTTGTAGGCAAGCACCATGCAATAAACCCACTGCAATCAGGACAACAATAAAATAGCTTATTCTTGTTTCGTTCTATCTTCGAAATTAGAATGATTGCTTTTTTCCGACATTGAGAACAATTTCTGTTGCAATACGTCAATTGATCTGAGGTACTGCCGTTAACACTTGAAGTTGACATCTGTAAAAATATGAAGCGAAATATGAAGTTGACATTATCACTTATAAATGTAACATCGATTGCCATATATACTTAATTGTATAATCAAACTCATATATTGCTCATTGGGCTAGCATTTATATGCAAAACAATCCAGTGAGTCAACAGGGTGGCAAATGTTTTGTGAAGTTATTGATACAAAAATGTGTCATCAGATGGTTTACAATCTCACAGCGAATAACTTATAATTTCTGCATATTTGCATAATCAAAAATCTACATTTCAAAACCAAAACCCACCCTAATACCTAATATAGGCAGCATAGCCCAAGTTCCCTAAAGCAGTCCTACATTGATGTAACACCAAGCTTGAACTTGCAAAAAAATATAGCAAGTCAAGCTTGGATAAGTTACACTGTTCTCAACATACAAAATACTGTTTTGTCCATCAAAAGTCATTTCATCACAAATGTCAAAAGTATTTATGTTAAATAATGAATAGATCAGGCATCAAAGATACATAAATCCCTATTATTTTGTTTAATAAGTAATAATTCCACAAGCTTTGTTTTTTATTAGAACAGTTATCAAATGTTTGGACTGGAAATTCTAATGAGTCAATGCAAATGGAAGCATGTAATAGAAACATTTGAAAGATGAGAGGGGCAACTGACTTTTTCAAGGAGATATGCTCTTTGCATCTCAAATGAATTTTAGGGCACATATTAGACACATTGAGGATTGAACATATTACAGAAAAGCTTATTCATTTATTTATTTTTAATTTTCACTTTCTAGTTTCCGAATATTATTCCATTTTATCCAGAATTGTTTCTCTACTTTACTTTGTATACGACAAACTGAATGGTTTTGGAGACCTAAAACATCCTTTTGGAAAGCCAGAATTAAGTTTTTCAAGACACCACAACATATGAATGAGTTTCCTAGTGACTGTGTAGGGGTAGCATAATGTAATGTTTGAGGTGTTGCTGTGTTTTACAAAGAAAAGAAAGGAAAGGAAAGGAAATGAAGATATTTTTTTTCCCTAACAAACAAGAAAGGGTAAGAAGAAACCTATAGAAGAAGAAAAGAAAAAAAGAGAAAAAATGAGAATTCTTGGTTCTTCGACTTGATTTTTAGCCTTGTGATGTTTTAGTATTCAATTGGGTCCTGTCACTGTATAGTGTTTATGATTCTATTCATGTGACATCCTATACTTTGGGTTCTCTTTCCTGTTATAAAATGAAATAGTACAATTTGAGTCCAATCTGCACTAGTGACTGTTACAAGTATAGTATATTGTAATATAAACTGGGTTCTTGTTTGCTTCTATAAAAATACATATATTCCTTGGGCTTTGTATCAAACATTTTTGAAGTAGTACCACTTTGGGTTGCTTCAAAGGAAATTAAAATCAAGAAAGACAACAGAAAATATTACCCTGATTGTGAACTAAAATTCAATAATAAACATATTTTCTGTGTTAGCTTTTTAAGTGAAAAAAAAAATAACTCTTTGGATTTCACTTATTCATTGGGCTTTCAACCTGTAAATATACACTGGTAGCATATGTAACAGCCTAATTCTTCTTCTTCTTTTTTTAATGTTCTACTTCCTAGTTCTTGGAAGTTTTATGGAGACATGGGCTTTCAGATGTCTTGAATAATTGGATTTGTGAAGGAGATTGATCCCCTAGCTACTTGAAGTGCTGGAACTGTAGAGCTTTTTTCATTTTAGGTTTTTGCCCTTCTATTTGTTTTTCTCATTTAAGAAGTAACAAAGGTATGAACTGTACAGGTATATGCTTGTTAGGACTTGCTGACTATTGTCGGTGTTCTCCTTAGATTTTCACCTTTTTGAGGTGCATCGAAGTTGGTCATTATTGTTGAATTTGCATTCTATTTGATCAGTGGCATTTGGACGTATAGGTTAGGATTCTATCTTTGTATTTTCTGTGATCATGAATAAGTGATTTTTGGGAACAATTCATCATCTTGTTTTGTTTCATCATTCATTATTGATTATTATGGACCCCTTAAAAAGCCTTTTTTTAGTGATGAGTAATGTGTACTCTATGAATGAAATAAAATGGTGCCTTTGGAGTCCGTGATCATTCCCAATCCTTGTAGCCTTAAATGTTATCATGCTATTGTTTCATCATATGAACTGTGGAGATTAGAATTTAATCATAAACCATTAATGTTTGGCATTATAATGGTCAGTTCCTTTTTAGAAGAAAAAAAAAATGAGACTTGTGACTTTGATACATAATCTACGGACAGTGGAGCAGATTTCCCTTTTGCCATGGACATGATTTTTCAAGCTAGAATTTGTAAATTTCAGTTGATTTGACTTTTAAGATTGCAAATATGACTATGATAATGGATTTCTTGAATATTTTCTTAGGTGAGCTAAGGTAACCATCAGTTCTGGGATTTTTTTGCTTAAAAAAACATATAAGAACCTTAATTCAATAGTTAGGAATTAAAATCAATAGTGAGGAACTAAAATTCTACTCATTACTTGATACAAATCTACATTTCAAAATTATTGAAGACAGATTGTATGCAAACATATATATATATATATATGCCCTGAATTGGGGGATTTATGAACATGAGTTGGGGGATTTATGATACTCCAAATTCATGGAGTATGCAATCAATATGCCCCAACTCAGATTTATGGAGCTGGCACAGATTCATAAATTCATGGAGTATGCACAGATTTATGGAGTATGCAAATATATCTATATATATATAGAGAGAGAAATCAAAGTGAAATCAAAATCAAAGTCACAATCTGTCTTCAACAAATTAGGGCATATATATATATATATATATAGAGAGAGAGAGAGAGAGAGAAATTATTTCACTGACTTGTGCACACAGATCTGTCGAGAAAACACGGAGAGTCGAGAGAAGTGAGTCCGGTGCGAAGATAGAGAGAGACTCGGTCGTCAGAAGCTGCGCTCGTCGGGTTGCTGGGGTTGTAGAAGCTGCGTCGTCGCCGGGGTTGGAGAGCAGCACTCGTCCGATCGGGTCACCAGTGTTGCAGAGCTAAGCTCGTCGGGGAGGTCGCCAAGGAGAGGCACAACAGAGAAGAGAAGGAAGAATAGAGTATTCAAAATGAATTTGAAATTTGAAATGAATAAGAAAGAGGGAGAAATGGGCGAGTTTGTATCCGCTTTCCACATAAGCCAGCCACGTCATTAGTGCTAATTTAGTGGTGAACGTTTAGTGGTCGGAAGCATTTTTCATACAACAATGATTCATCCCACTAAAAATATTATCACTAATAGCACTAATGCATTAAAAAAGTAAAAAAAAAAAAAATACAACTCCAAGACCAAAACATCACATCATTAATGGCGGGACCCACTGCCACCTAATTAGTGGGAGCACTAATTAGTGCTCCCAAGCATTTATAACATACCAAAATATGAGGTTGGTACTATCAATTTGACAAAATCACTAGAGATGCCTAAGGTTAAATATAACAACTTCGCTACGTAGCTCAAATCCTCATTGGCTCGTGTGGCCCGAATTTCTTTTTTCACTCAACTTTCTGATACGTGCTCAATACACCCACACATTTTATTTTCTTTCACGCACTCTCTCTCTCTCTCTCTCTCTCTCTCTCTCTCTCTCTCTCTCACACACACACACACACAAACACACATCCCTGTATTAATCTTCTTCATCTTCTCTCCATCTCATCCTATTAACAGTTGCAGAAAGAGAAAAAAGAATTGTCTCTGTGTGCTGTCGTTGTTGCTGTCTGATCGGAGTGAAAAATGAGGAGTTTTGTGTGCCGCTTCTTGATCGAAGTCTTAACAGAGAACACCCACATTCAACAACATACTCAAAATCAAATATATAAATACACATACATACACACATACAGACTCAAATAAAATCAAATATATGTAAAATAAGTTAAAAATTCTCCAAAATTAAGCATCAAAAATCCCAAACCAAACCCTACCCACAAATCTCATTTCTCATTTCATTCCAAAAATCTCATAATTGTACAAAATCAGCAAACACACACACACACACACACACACACACACACACACACACAGAGTAACAAGCCATTGAAATCCATATCCGAAGAGGCCTATTAAAGT